AATCTAATCTATGAACTAAAAATTTTAGAATGAATGAACTAAAATTTCAGAATCTATGAACTAAAATTTCAGAATCGATGAACTATAGTTCCAGAATCAATGAACTAAAATTCCATAATCTATGAACTAAAATTTCAGAATGAATGAACAATATAATGCTGTTGCTGAGAATCAAACCTGAATTTTTTTTTTTTAAAGGGGAGACGCGCGTTTTTAATAAAACGACGCCGTTTTTGGTGCATACGGATGCACAGCGTAAGTACTCCTTCACCTACCCAAGGAATTAATTCCTTTTCTAGGCCTGCCGAGAAGAATGAAAAATTGGGCCGAATTGCTTAAGAGATCATACATACTGCGGCTGACAATTTATTAAATAAAATTGATGAAGATGTTTTGGCCTAAAGTGATGCCGTGCAATCGTTATGGTGTGGAACCGTTTCCATCTTACGTGGACACAATTCTATGTTCATAATTACTGAATTATATGTTCATAATTATAAAGCTATATATTCATAATTTTTGAACTTCATATTCATAATTATTGAACTCTATATTCACAATTAAAGAACTCTATGTTCATAATTATAAAGCTATATATTTATAATTTTTGAACTTCATATTCATAATATTGAACTCTATATTCACAATTACAGAAGTCTATGTTCATAATTACTGAACTATATGTTCATAATTATAAAGCTATATATTCATAAATTTTGAATTTCATATTCACAATTATTGAATCTCTATATTCATAATTACAGAACTATATTTTCATAATTATGTTCACAACTCTATGTTCATAATTATAGAACTATATGTTCATAATTTTTTAACGATATATTCATAATTATGAACAATTTTGGAACCGTGTCCATCTTGCAAGGTGGACACAGTTCCACAGCATAATTTACCGTGGAGCGCAAATTATGCCCTGGAAACGTGTTCACCATGAATGGTGAACACGGATCTAAATGACACCGTTTTTACGAAGAAAAAAATAATTTAGTTAATGTGTTGTTAACGGCGCGCGTTTGTTCAGATTATGAATTATAATTTCATAATAGAAAATTCATAATCGCATACCAAAAAATTCATAATCTTATAACAGAAAATTCGTAATCTCATAAAAGAAAATTTATAATTTCATAACTGCACATTCATACATCTATGCCTGCACATTCATAATTTATGAATGTTGAAGAAACTTGCGCGAAAAGAAAGTGGAACCGCGAAATGTGAAAATGAAGAAGAAAAGTCGCGCGGTTAATTAAGAAAAAAAAAATAACAGTGCACCATTACCGTTAGAACCGTGTTCACCATGGATGGTGTCCATGGCATAATGATTGTTTCTTTAGAGCTGCATTTAGCGGACCCGAATTCTTAGTCTGAGTATGAGCCGAGTTTTGGATGGTCAGACTATGAGATGATTTTGATGATGAGGCTTATGTTGAGCATCTGGAGCGTGCTTGGTGCGCAGTGGATCTTGGGCACGTGGTCGTGGGAAGAGGTGGGCAAATTATGCCCTGGACCCGTGTCCACAATTCATTGTGGACACGGGCCCAAAACGACGTCGTTTTTTCAAAAAAAAAAAAACGCGTCATTTAGTTTAAAAAAAAAAAATCACGCGCGTTTTGCCGTTAACGGCGTTATTTTTTTTGGATTATGAATGTATAGTTATGCCGTTATGAATGCACAGTTATGCAATTATGAAATTATGAACACAGAGCTCTAACATTATGAACTTACAATTATGAACATATAGTGATAAAATTATGACCATGGAGCTTTAAAATTGTGAATATAGAGCTTCGATGATTATGAATGTACAATTATGTAGTTATGAATGTACAGTTATAGAGTTATGAATCTACAGTTATGAGATTATGAATCTACAGTTATGGAATTATGAATGTACAGTTGTTGATCGAATTATGAACAAAGAGCTCTGACATTATGAGCTTACAATTATGAACATATAGTGATAAAATTATGAACATAGAGCTCTAAAATTGTGAACATAGAGCTTCAAAAATTATGAATGTACAATAATGGAGTTATGAATGTACAGTTATTGAGTTATGAATGTACAGTTATAGAGTTATGAACGTACAATTATGGAGTTATGAATGTACAGTTATTAACATATAGTAATAACATTATGAACATATACTCCTATAACGAAACGGTCTGAAATTTTTTTTAAAAAAAAAAAAAAAAAAAAAAAAAAGATACTAACAGCACTGTTACCATGCTGGACACGGGTCTAACGCATAACGATTGGGAAGAGGTGTGATCGGTATAAGTTTAGATATCGCTTTTGATTGTTATATTGCGGGCTTGTCCCCGTTTTGTGGAGATTTGATTTTGTCCAGTCTCTTTTTTTGTTTTTGATTTTGGTGGGTTATAAATTGGTTGGGTTTTGTTAAAGAACAAAAAAAACTAACTCACTTCACCTAAACTAAAGAGAAAATAATTAATAGCCCATATCATGTATGTAGGCAAATTATGTTGTGCATGTATATTGCACACGGATGTAAAAATGGTGTCGTTTTTACTTAAATAAAAAAAAAATCATTTTCGATTACCGTTAGTTACGTAAACATATGTTCATACTAATTTTATAATTTCACATTCTGAATTTATAGTTATGAAATTATGGATGTGTAGTTATACAATTCTAGATTTATAGTTATGAAATTATGGATGTGTAGTTATGCAATTCTGGATTTATATAGTTATGAAATTATGGATGTGTAGTTATGCAATTCTGGATTTATAGTTATGAAGTTATGAATGTGTAATTATGCATGCAATTCTGAATGTATAGTTATGAAGTTATGGATGTGTAATTATGCATGCAATTCTGAATGTATAGTTATGAAGTTATGGATGTATAGTTTCTGAATGTATAGTTTATGAAGTTATGGATGCGTAGTTATGCAATTCTGGATTTATAGTTATAAAGTTATGGATGTGTAGTTATGTAATTATGGATGTATAGTCATGAAGTTATGGATGTATAGTTATGCAATTCTGGATTTATAGTTATGAAGTTATGGATGTGTAGTTATGTAATTCTGGATGTATAGTTTATGAAGTTATGGATGTGTAGTTATGCAATTTTGAATTTTTTTTTTTTTAAGTCCGACGTCAAAACGACGTCGTTTTTACAACTGTATGCACCATGCATGGTGCACACGATTGCACAACATAACGCTCCATGTATGTACCAATCATCATGTGTGGAGTATTATATGTAAAGATTATGAATCGTTATGTTTATTGATGTAAAGCACTACCTATATATAGTAGCCTAGTAGATAGAGGAGTGAAGATAGCAACAAGTTACAACCAAATACAACTAGTCTATATGGGTACAAATAGGATAAATAACAACTAAAGAATACTAGCCACATATTGGTTTAACATTATATATACATATCATCCAAGATTTTACGATTTTTACCACATAAATCATGCAGTGTTGAGTGTACTATATGAAATTGGTTTCTTATACATCACAAGATGTTCGATTACGTCTATAATCACACTACTAAGAAGACCCTGTTTATTGCAATCATACCACAAGTAAATTGATTGCAATACATTATTATTTGCAACATAAATTGTTATAAACTAATTGCGACGAGCATGTTTATTTCGGAAAATTTTGAATATATGGTTGTTGCGATGATAATTATAACGATCATTGTGGAAAAATATTTTACTAGTTTTTTTTTTTTTAAGAAGCATTGTGATATATTTTGTGAATGTTTTGGAGAGAAATTATTTTTTCACAATAAGTCTTGTGAAACAGTGCAAAATTCAACCCGTTTAAATGGGCGGAACAATGCAAAATGATTAAGGCACAAACATACAATATATTATTCAACTATGCGGTGTATACATGAATATATATTTCATATTTTCAAACGAATCGGTTTAAATTCAAAGCATCCAACCTATAATCCACTATTGGATAAAAATTCAACCAAAATCCACACCACCAATTTCAAATTGGATAATCAGTCCAATTTCCTTTTCAATTTTTATTTGATCGGATAATTCATATTGGTCAGGTATTGCTCAAGCCTCAAATCCCGTGTAGCATTATATATCCATGGAATAAGGTTCAAGAACGTAACTTGAAAATGTAATTAGGTCACTGAACGAAAAAAAAGTGCAATCAGGCTACTAAACACTCCAAATGTATGCAATTTCACCTGATAGCAGGTTACCATCAATTTTAGCAGGTTATCTGCTTACGTGGCGGCTGAGTTGGCATTTTTAAATAATTTTAATAACTTTTAATAATAAATTTAAAGAAAATTGAAAAAAAATAAAAAAATAAATTATTTAAAAATTATTAAAAATGCCAACTCAGCTGTCACGTAAGCAGGTAACCTGCTAAAATTGATGGTAACCTGCTATCCGGTGAAATTGCATACATTTGAAGTGTTCAGCGACCTAATTGCACGTTTTTGGATGTTCAGTGGTCTAATTGCATCTTTTTTTCGTTCAGTGGCCTAATTGCAATTTTAAGTTACGTTCAGTGGCCAATTTGAACCTTATTCCTATATCCATTTATAGATAGGCAATATCTCACGTTCAATTTCTTACTATTTGAAAAACAAGGGTCATAGTCATCTTAATTATTGTTCATAGATTATATTTACTCCGTACTTCATTATTGAGTATTGAACCACCTAACTTTTATAAGTACTAATAGATTATTTTGGAAGTGAACTTTGTAAGGCCTCACACCCCAACTCGACAAAACATCTGGGAGAATGTAAATCATGATAACTGAGCTGAACCATAGGAGCTAAACCTTTACTTACTGTTCACAAGGAGCCCCCGCTCCCACACTGTGGCTGGTGGGACTCAACCCCTGATCATTCTTCTCAAACTTCACTTATATAACCAACTGAACTGCCCATGCGAGCCGGAAGTAAACTTTTTATCCTTAGTAGAAACAAAACAAAATTACATGAGAATTTACATACAAACTCAAACCAAGAACATTTATTTATGGAAAAAGCAATTACTACATGCTAGGGATTTCTGATTCCAGTTCAATACTAGATTGCCAGCTTGAACACCTATCTAAGTTCATATTGCTATGATTTAGCACTGATCTAGAAGTTTAATAAAGTTCAAATACATGCCAACCAAAACATTCTAAATTACCAATACATGAGAAGCAAAACCTCCAGCAGAACTTCTCAATCTGCAATATGCATTTGTCCCCAGGATTAAATTCAAAGCTTATTTTTATACCAGAAAACACCCTTGTTCTTGTCACCTTCATCTGCCTCCACATAAATACACTCCTTCACTTCTCTGAACATTGCCTTGAACACTGGCGTCCCATCAAATTGATAGTACTCACCCAATATTGGTTTGATAGCCTTTGTGGCCTCCATTGCATGATAGTGTGGCATGGTTGAAAACAGATGATGAGCCACATGAGTATCTGTGATGTTATGAAATACCTTGTTCAGAATTCCATAATCTCTGTCCACGGTGGAGAGGGCGCCCCTTAACCAATCCCATTCCGAGGAATCATAATGAGGCAATGATGGGTGAGTGTGCTGCAGAAACGTGATCAGTACAAGGAACCCGTTTACAATAAGTAACGGGACGCCATAAACACAAAGAACCCAAGACAGCCCTTTAGCTGCCACCAGACGGTACAGTCCATAAGTTACAGCAAAGATACCAGCATCAGATATGAAGATCTGAGCACGCTCACGGTCTGAATATATAGGGCTATAAGGGTCGTAGTGACAGGCAAAGCGGGGATATGGCCGCCCAGAAACATTGAACATCAGGTATAGAGGCCACCCTAGAGTGAGCTGGACAAGGAGCGTGAATGCTCTGCCAGGGGGGTTGTTAAGATATTTGGCATGCGATTTCATGCCAGATTTCTTCTTAGGTACAAAGACTTCATCCCGTTCAAGGGAACCAGTGTTTGAATGGTGACGGCGATGGCTATATTTCCAAGAGAAGTATGGAACAAGGAGAGCAGAGTGTAGGATAAGTCCAACAGTGTCATCAAGCCATTGGTAGTCACTGAATGCATGATGGCCACATTCATGAGCAATGACCCAAACTCCGGTGAGTACACAGCCTTGGCAGATCCAGTAAAGTGGCCAGGCCAGGTAAGAGAGAGGGTGTGGGAGGAGATGGAAATAGCTTGTTGCAACATAGTAGAGGAGAGAAGCAATTATGAGGTCATAAACAACATAGGAGAATGAGCGAAGAACGGATCGTTGAAAACAATGGGGTGGGATGGCTTTCTTAATCTCACCAACTGTGAAAGGTGGTTTGGCATATGGAACACGCTTAACAACATCAGATTTGGACTTCTTGCCCTCAGGCTGTACAGCCGTCCTGCCTCCAGCACCCATTGTTTACTGAACTACAATAAGAACAGATATTTTTGTCATATAAAATGACAGATTTCTGGATGCTTGGTAAACTAAATGGACAGTGAAAAGGATACAAGAAAAGATTGAATATACTAGATGAAAGGAGGAAAAAGGCTAGAAGAGTTCAAGACTAAAAACGAGACATATTACTGCATGAAAGTTAAATGTATCAGAATTAACCATAAACAGAAGTTCTATAGACAGAGTGACAGACAGATGCATATGTATATTTAATCTCAAGTCCTAACTATTAACTATGGTCTATGGACTTTACCTTACTGGCTAAGAGTAATTATTATGTCCTCTCTATTTACAGAAGAGGATACCTTCATAGGACATCCAATTTGGGGATGAATACATGAAAACAATTGGGTAAGAGGCTCACACATATAAAATCAACAACTTGGACCATAGAAGAATTTATTGGATGGCCATCAAGAAAAGGAAGAACTTGCACTTTCTAAAAAGATAAATTAAGCAAGATATTTTATCTTCAAAAAGATAGTTCTTTGACTTAGGTGAATTAAATCTCAATGGGAGAACATTACACATTAAGCAAACCAAACCTATGCTTTCTTTCAAAGTCATGGCTCATTGGTTTCAATTCTTGCAGGTCATAAAGTGTTAGTATTTGCATCAAGTAATAAACCATAAAATCACCTTGGCAATCAGAATTCTGTGAAACCCCAGATGCCAACTGTGCTTCATAAGGATTTTCACTTGAAGAAAATTGTAATTTTTCAGATCTAGTATTGTCATTTAAAATAATGGCTGGGAAAAAAAATTATGGGTGCCTTAACTGTATCAATTTCTCCTCAAGTCAAGCAGAAGTCTTCCACTTGAATTAATCGTGGAAGGCAAGGAAAGTGAACCAGGAGACAAAAGTCAAAAAGTTTCTCAATTAAGAATCAAGCATAAAAAAAAATACATAGATCTAACATTTGGCAAGACGATCAAATTCAGATCCAAGTACTTAAATTAAGGAGAAGCTGACAAATAAGGATGATAAGACCAAAGCATCCCACTTTAACAAATAATAGAAGTAACAAGTGGGCCATTAAATAAACATAAAATAAAATTACCAAATAAATTGATTATAGAATATTTTTAAAAAATAGCATATTCTCTTATAGCTTTTCTCCATGACTTGGAGATCTGATCAAACAACCCACTTAAGGAGCCTTGTACGAAGGTTCACATGTTCACATTAGATTGGATCAATGATAGTGCCAAACAGCTGCATAATTCCTCCATATTCCTAATATCTAATGACCAAACTTGTAAGTCATGTGGCAGCCAATTTTTCCATGTGAACGAGAAAAAAAAAAAAAAAAAAATCTACGCTGTACAATAAATAATGACCTAAATCTATAATCTCGGCAACTAGAAAAGGCAACAGCTAAGAATCTCAAGGCCATAATATTTAGCATCCCCTATAGACATCCTCATATCCATATTCATATAAATAAAGTAAATCAGATCAATGCCCAGTCTTTTACATTTGGCAGCTAGAGATTTTTTTTTAAAGGTAGTGCATTTAATTATTGGATGAATTACACTACAAAATTATTATTAAATCACATGAAATTAAATGTGCAAGTTGTCCAACATCAAGAATGCAATATTTGCCCTAGGGGAGCACTGGAAATAAAATCCCTTCACCTAAATTTTTGGCAAAATCCAATCTAAATTAGAAGAAAAGTTAGTATTAACATTTCAATAGAATTTTCCTTCAAGAAAAATCAAAATTAATATTAAAAAAGTCAAACCATTTGACAAATGATTTAATAGAAATAAAAGTTGTCTACTTTCCTAAAATAACCTTAAGGATAGTTCTATATTCATACATTACTAATAAATCCCAAAAAAAGGAAAAAAAATGTAGTTATCATTTTTTTCAAAAATATGTAGACAAGAAGAGAGTAATAAAAAGAACACATGGAGCTAATCCAATCTAAGTTATTTATAGTTGACCGGCTAAAACAAAGAAAGCCAATAGAGGGCTCCAAGCTCCCACAGTCCCACCAGACTCAAACTTAGAACCTTCTGCTGTTCTGCTTACAAAGTCAATTGTCAGATCAAATCAGCTAAAATGTGGAAAATAACTGATTTGCTACAATGATTGTTAATTTTTTGGTTAAATAAGAAGTTTATAGTAAAAGTGGTAACTTCAGAGATGGAAACATGTTTTTTTTTTTAAAGATTACCTCCATTCATTTAATAATATTATCAGATTATTATTTGGGTGATCCATCAGTAAATTATATTTAAATTTTTGTACAATTGTACTCCGCATTAAATACAAGTATCATTAATAAAAGGATGGATCATTAAACAGAGATACTTTAATGAGCGTTTTTCTTCACCAGCAATGTTCAAGGGAAAAGAAAAATCTCTTCTCCTAAATGAAATGTCGAATTCAACAGAAAGTAATGACGACAAACAGTACTGAAAGCTCAAAGAATCAGTAGATCTGCATATAAAATATCATCCTAAAGCAAGAGAATGAACAAAGACAATTTTAATCTCAGAAATAAAATCCAAATTTATGCAAAAACAATCAGCAAGAGGAAAGCACAAGGAAGAATAGATCTAAAAGGCATAGGCCTATACCGTAAACGGCTGCTATATACAAATGTTGAAGTTCAAACTACAGAGTCCGCATATATATGTAGTGTGTGTATATCAGTATATATACACACAAACATCTTGAATTAGGAAAATTACCTGAACGACCTTCCGTTCCTCTTTCTCAACCTCCAAGAGCTCTTCTCTCTCTCCCTCTCTCTCTCTCCCTATATGTGAATCTCCGGCGGCCTTGTATCTGCGTATGAGGAGAAGAGAGGCCGGTATTTAAGCTTTGGGCTTCCCTCCGAATTCCGAAACGGAAGCACCCTCGTCTTTACGTACACCGTGGACCACACCAACCATTTCACACTTTTTATTCTTATTATTACTACTCCGTACGGCTGCTGCGGATAACTTTTTTTTACTTATCTAAAACTCTCAAATTTTACTCACTCACTTGTACTCCATGATGATGTGACAATTAGAGCTGTCAAAACGGATCAACTCGACCCATATGAGCTGGCCCATCTCAAGTTCAACTGGACCCGTGTAAGATGGGCTGACAGGCTAAACGGGCCAGCTGTAAGCATGTTTATTTTTTATTTTTTTTAATTTACGTGATTAAAATATTTTTTATCATATTACTTAGGAATCCCATGACCTCTAAGTTAGTAACCCAGACTATTTCCAATCAACCATATAAACCATGATTAACAAATATGTATATTTATATATATACAAATATGTATATACACATATAACATATACACATATGATATATGCACATATAAAATTAGATTTTAATTTTTAATATATAATTATAATTTATTTAATTTATATTTAATACTAATATATTTTACATGTAATATTGTTTATTTGTAATTATAATATATATACTATTAAGTTATAAAGTTTATAAAATATATAATTTATTACTTTATGTAGTTTATATAATAAATAAACTTGCATTCAAAAAAAAATATAATAAATAAACTTTAAATTAATATTTATATAAGGATACAATTAATTGTATTAATTAATATAGATATATATTTAGTAATGCTTGTGAATGATGTAAATAGATATATAATTATATTAAAATATTTAATATGTGTTTTTAACATAATTGATTTTAATAGTAATAATTTGATAACTTAATTAAATAAAAGGTCAAGGGTTCAAGTCTTGTTAGCAACAATATTTTTAAATGGGTGGGGATATGGGTTATACGGGCCAACTCCTATAATCCGTATCCCCCACGGGTTACACATGATGGGTTGGAAACCGGACGGGCTGGAAATCCTCTAACCCAGTCCGTGTAAAATACGGGTTAAACTGGCCCAACCCGACAGGTTGGCCCCGTTTTGACAGCTCTAGTGACAATCAATGATATGATAATTTCATCTTGTGGGTCTTAAAAAAAGTGTTTTGTGAGATGGAGTAAAATTTAGGAGTAAGAAGTGAGAGTCTATGTAGTATTTTATTATTATTATTATTATATATTTAGATAATAAAATTATAAATAATTTTTATATTTAAAAAGGTATATTTATTTAATTATAAAATTAGTGTAAAAGTATCATTTAATTAACTGAACAATATACAATTTGTTTGTATGTAATAATCTAGAAAAATTCAATATGTAAAATGATTTGTAATTATATTATATTATTACTAAAATAAATATAGAAAAAAAGAGAAATAATTTAATTATAATTATTTAAAAATAAATCCAACGCATGATATACAAAGTATAAACGCATGCCTTATTTGGTTATTGTCGGATCTACCAAAATTTTGACAAGTCCGTCATTTTCACACCTTGTTTGGTAAATGACAGTTTGGAGCAGCGGATTTACTCTCAACCACCAAAATCTAAAACACACCTTGTTTGCTTGGCAGTTTGAAGCAGGCATATTTGCTCCAAACCACCAAAATATAAAACGCTAGCAGCGTTTCATATTGGCATTTTGGACATTTGCCCAAAACACCCTTAATTCTTATTCTTTTTTTAAAAATGTTTCATTTACAGGCTTCTAAATAAAGAAGCCTGAGACTTCTTTTTTTCCTGCCCATCCAATGTGGGAATCGAATGGGCTGGATTAAATAAGGGAGCGGTGAGCTCCCCTTTTAGTTAATATTTCGATGTGGGATCATTTGATCCCACATCAATTTGTTGTTGTTATTATTATTATTATTATTATTATTATTATTATTATTATTATTATTATTATTATTATTACATCAGTTTGTTTTTATTATAATTATAATTATAATTATGTATACCCTTTTGGTCATTTTACATGTTAATCGCTAATCTAAACAGCTAATTTTATCAAACATATTTTTACAAACTGCTGATCAAACCCGCTAACACAATCCGCTATTTGTTAACCGCTAATACAATCCACTACCGCTAATCGCTAACCGCTAACCGCTGACCGCTGATGGCCAAACAAGCCCATACATAATTACGAGCCAGAGTTCACTGTCTAACAAGTCTTAACTTGAACTTTGGAGGGCTCTTTTGTGTTTGGGTTTGATATGTACTTATATTTAGTTGCCTTCCTCCTAGGACCTTATCTTTATGATTTTAGATTTTGGGCTTGTTTGGATAATAGTGAATTCATCATTTTTTGACGAATTTGACCATAATCAACTTTTTGACAAGGTCAAAACGCTAATTACAACGTTTAGTAATCATCGATTTGGAGCAGTAGTTTAACTCCAAACGCTGAAACCCCAAAATTGTAACGTTTGGGGTTTGACTTTTTGAAAAAGGTTGGTCTTTTCCCAAAACACCATGATAAACATTTATAATTAAAAAAAAAAAATTGTCACTATCACTCTGGAAGCCTCAATGGACATCGAATGGGTACTGAAAATAAAACAAGGGCCATTGAGGCTCCTCTTTATAGAGGAACGCGGCTCAATGACCCTCATTTGTTTTTTGGCGATGTACGACAAAATATAGGGGAGCCTGCACGCGCCATGTAGGCTCTCCTTTGTCTTTTTTAAATAATAATAATAATAATAATAATAATAATAATTACGGAGTATTATTAATTTATTATATTGTTTCTATTTTATTATTTATATTATTATTATTGTATTGTTTCTATTCATTTTTTTAATTATAATGTTCTTATAAGTCATTTTACATGTTAACCGCTAAACTTAAATAGTTAATTTTATCAAATATTATTTTACAAATTGCTAATACAATCCACTAGTTAAACATGTTAACACAATCCACTAACCGCAAACCACTAACCACTAACCGCCATTTGTCAATCAAAGCCTTTGTATATTTGCTCATGCTCAATAATGTCTTTTTAAAATATCTACCAATAAGCTAGTTATCATGCATATGCTATATTTATTTTATTTTATTTTCAAATAATATACATGTGCGCGCGCGCATGAAGGAAAGAAAGAAAACAATCCA